AAAATTTACTATAGAAAAAACTATTATATCGTATTTAGAATTTGCGACATATAATTTGAAAATTTTACTATAGAAAAAACTATTATATCACTTTTAAAATTTGCGACATATAATTTGAAAAATTTAATATAGAAAAAACTATTATATCGTTTTTAGAATTTGCGACATATAAATTGAAAAATTTACTATAGAAAAAACTATTATATCGTATTTAGAGGTGCCCACTGAACTGAACTGAACAGTTTATGTTCGAAAAATATTATATTTTCATGTTCGTGTTCGTTCGGGTTCGGTTCAAGTTGATCGCAAAAAAAAAACATTGCAATCATATTCGTTCACGTTCGGTTTACGTTCGGTTCACGTTCATTTTAACTGTTCAAATTAAAACTGTAAACTTCAAAAGATGGTTGTTGGCCAAGGGAAGGAAGATGTTCAAAGGGAAGATAGACGTTTTTAAATACAGATTAATTGTTGTAATTCATACAAAATAAAACATCAAATCTATGTAGAAAAATACGTTTTGTTTCGCTCTGATAAGTAACTATTTATATTCTGTTTTTATTCTCGAGAATTCAACTGAACAGTTCGCGTTTGTTCAGGTTCGTTCGAAATAAAAAAAATCTGTTCATGTTCATTCGCGTTTAGTTCAAATGGTTCAAAATATGTAAAAATGCCGTTCATATTCGATTCATATTCGGTTCAAATTCGAATGAACCGAACGAACATGAACATATCGTTTTTAGAATTTGCGACGTATAAAATTATTTTTTTGAAAAATTTACTATAGAAAAAACTACTGAATCTGATAAAAGTTTTGTTTTACAAATAGTTTTTGATAGACTCTTCAATGCCTGTATGATATCGTAATCATGTGAAAATTTGCAGATTGCTTTTTTTCACAAAAAGCTAACATTCTGAGAGTTTGAAGAAATTTCAATACAATTGAATGGTACATTCCATACAAAATTTTCGTTTTTGAGCAAAAAGTCCAAAATTTTGTTCGGGAGGTACCCCTATTTTGCATTGAAATCTCTTCAAACCCTCGGAATGTTATTTTTTGTGTGAAAAAAATAATCTGTGCAAAGTTTCAGCTCATTACGATATCATACAGGCATGGCTTTCATACAAAAATCCAAATTTTTTGACTTTTTTGTATGAAAATGTGTCGAAATTTTTTTGTATCGCAAAACTAACTTCATATTCGGTTTTCTCGTACCCAAAATAAATATCACTTTTGGAAGAAAAATTGAATTTTTCCCATGCATCTGGAATTCTGGATGCTACTTAAATGAATATATTCATGTTTCGCGCATATACGGTGTTGTTGGTTTCAAGCATGATAATGTAATGTGTTGCAAGTTTATTTTTCAAAACAAGGTTGACCAGTAGTCAATAAGTGCTTTAAACTGGCTTTTAATAAAATCTTTATTAGTCTTTCTATAAACTTAGCGAAGAGTAGAAGTGTGCATTTTGAACAAAATATTTTCTGAAGTTGATTAAAATGACTTTAATACTTCCGACGATTTCATTTTTGGTAAGTATCAAAAGTACATTTTGACCATGAGAGAAAAATAAAATCTTTTTATAGATTTTGATGCCAACTATTGATGCAAAGTTGGCACAAACAATCACACTGAACAATGGATATAAAATGCCAATTATCGGACTCGGCACTTTCGAGGTACTTTCAAAAGTATATTCAGAATTTTCTTAAGGTAAACTCTAGAAGCAAGAAATTTAGTTCAATATTTAGTGTGTACGGCTGCAAAATGGGCTATTATTCTTCGTGCTATATCCATCCTTTGGATTGTTGTTTCATGTATTTCACCAATACTGGAGTGAATTTCTTACTCTTATTAATTAAAAAAATTTATGATAAATTGTAGTCAGATCCAGGTGATAATGAACGTGCTGTTGGCGATGCAATTGCAATTGGCTATCGTCACATTGACACCGCTTATTTTTATAAAAACGAGAAAGAAGTTGGAAATGCAGTTCGAACGAAAATTGCTGAAGGGCTAATAAAACGGGAGGATATCTTCGTCACAACCAAGGTGAGATAAAATATTCACATCTCTTCGCTTCAATGACAAAACACTTTTCAAAAATTTGTAGCTTTGGAGTACATTTCATGAGCCGGGTTATGTTGAAAAAGCATTCAAACGATCATTCGACAATTTAAATTTGACTTATATAGATTTGTATTTAATTCACTATCCGGTGCCTTTCCAACGTCTCTTGAAAAATGATAGTTTTTCTGTGAATGACGTTAGTTCGTTCCAATTATCTCCAGTTGATGAAAATGGTAATACTTTTGTTCATTACAATGAATTCGTATTTCAAAATGTATTGGTCTTGATTTGCTTTTAGGCAATACATTAACTGCAGATGTGGATTATTTGATTGTATGGCATGCTATGGAAAAATTGGTCGAAAGTGGTCAAGTGCGCAGTATTGGTTTATCCAACTTTAACAGTGAACAAACCGAACGTGTTCTATCCAATTCAAAAATAAAGCCAGTAACAAATCAAGTTGAATGTCATCCAAATCTCAATCAACGAAAACTAATCGAATTCAGCACAGCTCGAAATGTTACAATCACAGCATATTCGCCGTTGGGCCGACCATCTTCCTCTAATGGCAAAAAATTAGCAATTTTTGATCCAAAAGTTCTTGAATTGGCAAAGAAATACAATAAAACACCGGCACAAATCATACTCCGCTATACCGTATTTATTATCGAAATCTTACTCATCACTCTTGATAGAGTACTCAAAACTGTTTTCTATTTCAGATTCAAAATGGGGCAATTGTCATTCCAAAGTCAACTAATAAAAATCGAATGAAAGAAAACTTCAATATTTTTGATTTCGAATTGAGCAATAGTGACATGCAGTTCATGCATCAGCTAAATAATAATTATCGCTTATTTGAGTACAGTTCAGAAAAAAACCATAAATACTATCCATTCAATATTGAATTTTAATGCAAACACATAATTCATTCATCTATCGTTTTAAGAAATAAATCATTTAAGAATATTGTCATTCACAGTGTTACTTTATCTTTATTACGGCGGATGGATGTTGTTATAATAAGCTAAAAAAACAACGATATAACCAGTTTCTGCCGTGTACTTTTTATGTATACAAATATTTGCAAATAAATTATCAATAATTATATTCCTGTTTTATTTTTTTTGAATTTGTAATTCCATTATTTTTGAAGTAAAAAAAACTTCATATGGTACTGAAATCCAGTTCTTACCTACTATGTTGCTTAAGTAGATAAAAATTCAAGTCGGCTGGAGCAAACATCAGATTTCACTGAGATTCGTCAAAGAACAAAGGTGCACAGTGCATTTTATCGCAAATATTCTGTCCGATGAGTTTAGTATTTGTCAATATGAAAGTGAAACAAGTGACAATCACGTTTTGGGTACATTTTTTTTAGTTTTAATTACGAAAAAACATGATTCAAGTTCTGCTGAGAAATTAATAATTTTCAATTTTTCGAAAGGTTTTGTTGTTTTTAACAGAGGCAAAATTAGCACCAACACTTCGATTGAATAATGGCTATGAAATGCCTGTCATTGGATTTGGGACCTTTCAGGTAAAAATACAAAAAGTTTATTATTTTATACAAGATTCTTTGCCACACATACTTTTGATCAGACATTATATTGAGTTATGTTCAGCCAGTTGGATCAGCTCAGGGAGCCAATAGAAATGATTGTGTCTATTGTTTCCACTCCTTTTCGGCGTTTGACGTCAGCTTTCTGGGCTGAATCGGTTTCCTGAAAATATCTCAATAAAAACTGTTTGCTTTTGATGTGAAATCTTTAAAGTATAGTATATTCGATGTACCATTTATGCAGATTTACATAATATGCATTTAAAAGTGGTGTCTTTCACCATAGTATTCAGGATAGCAACAAAGTTGTATTTTAATAACTTAATTTATGATTGAAAAACGATAAATTTATAGGCATCTCCAGGCGATTGTGAACGTTCAGTGAAGGATGCTATTGATATTGGATATCGTCATATCGATACAGCCTTTGTGTATGGTAATGAAATTGAGGTGGGAAAAGCAGTCAGAGCAAAAATTGACGAAGGGGTGATCAAACGTGAGGATATTTTTATAACAACGAAAGTAAGTGGATTATGATACACGAAGAACGTACAATTAAAAATATTTAACATTCAATGTATCGTTTAGTTGTGGAGTACATTCCATGAGCCCGATCAGGTGGAAAAAGTATTCCAAAGGTCATCTGATAATTTGAATTTGACCTATGTCGATCTGTATTTGATTCATTTTCCATCTGCGTTGCAACGTGTTCCTAAAAATAAAACAGATGCGTCTGGTGACGTCAATACATTTGACAAATTGCCACGTGGAAAAGACGGTAAAGTAATATATTTATTCTTCAAACATCTAAAAGTGTGGAAATTAAAGTGATCTGATAATTATGTTTTTATTCTAATCTCATTCTTTTTTACTTATTAGGCAAAGTATTGACAGCAGATGTGGATTATTTGGATACATGGCACGCAATGGAAAAATTGGTCGAAAGTGGTCGAGTGCGCAGTATTGGTTTGTCCAACTTTAACAGTGAACAAACCGAACGTGTTCTATCCAATTCAAAAATAAAGCCAGTAACAAATCAAGTTGAATGTCATCCGAATCTCAATCAACGAAAATTAATCGAATTCAGTGCAGCCCGAAATATTACAATCACAGCTTATTCACCGCTGGGTCGACCATCTACAACTTCCTCTAACGGCAAGAACTTAGCAATTTCTGATCCGAAAGTTCTTGAATTGGGAAAGAAATACAATAAAACACCGGCTCAAATCATACTGCGCTATACTGTATGTTTATTATTAAGTTTTTCATATATATTTTCTACCAATGTTGACTCAATTTTAGGTTCAGAACGGAGCCATCGTCATTCCGAAATCCATCCATAAAAACCGCATAGAGGAAAATTTCAATATTTTGGACTTTGAAATAAGCGCTAGTGATATGGAAATTTTGCACGGGATAAATGACAACATTAGGTTGAGCAGTTTCGATGATTTAAAAGATGATAAATATTATCCATTCAATATTGAATTTTAACCAAAATAAACAAATATTATGTTTATATGAAATAAAGTAACATTGCACATGATTTTTGTTGATATCATTTCCCTATTTTGATGTCAAAGTCTTGAAAATCATATAGTATTTAAATACTGCCATAATCAACTGGAAATAGAAAACATATATCCAAATTTAAATCTTAACTATTCACATTTATTTCTTACTTTGCAATAAGTCTCCAGATCCGCAATCACTACAAATCCACGATAGGCAAACGGTTTTTGTGCATTTTCAATCATCAGGATGTAATATTTCTGCAAATCGATAGAAAGATCTAGCCAATTAGATCCAAAAAAGGAGTCAGCTATCTTTTCAAAGCTTTCAGAGGCAATTTTTCCAAAGTAACAGTAGAGAAAAATGTTGGATTTAAATAAAAATATACCGATCAAGGCGAAAATAATAGAGACATCAACATTCTTAATATGCTGAAAATGCGAAAAGCATATGAAATATATTTTTAATTTAATCGAAAAAACGATGAAAGATAATCGTTACCTCATTCAATTTGAGTACAAAAGATGGTAAAATAATTGGGCCACACATTAATTGAATCATGATGAAAAAGCTATAAACATCAGCTGAATCTAGGAACCAACTAGAAATTATAAAAAATACACACACATATTCAGAAATGTGATTAAATTTTGATGCGGTAAAATGAAACGGACTCCTTAATAGAGGCGTGAAAGCGAATCAGATCACAAAGTAACTTCTTGTCATTTCTTTTTCTGTTGGGAATGTTGAGTTTGTTCAACGAATGTTGAAACATATTATAAAATACTTGATGATGCAGACACATAGAAACGAATAATAAGATGAGTGGGCCATTGCATATAAAAAAGGTTAAGATAGTCAATTGAACGAAGATTATTTCACCACAATATCCGAGTAAGTTTTCTTGATCCCAAGGCAAACTAAAATGATCAAAATTAAATTATGTTTTCAAAAAATGAAAAAAAAAAACATCATACATAATTTTATGCGGATAAAACACATGTTCAGCGTTGAATTGTCCATACTTCATCCAGCAGAAAAGTATTGAAATTAGGAATGTCACCGTTCTTGCGATTATTATGCCTGCGTTGAATTTAATATAACCGTGAAAAAAACATTCACATCTAATATTTACTCGAGCCAATAATTGAAATGAATCGTTGTTGAAATCTGAATTGAATACCAATTTTGCTTGATCAATAAAAAAAGTTCAAAATTTAAGAGGAGAATAGAAGTTTGTTTGGAATTAATCTTAGCAGCTGATTTGCTTTTTTATGTTGGTATTATCGTCGTTATTTTCATTTATTTAAATGTGACACTCACTAATATAAAAATGCATAAAATCTCTGATTAACTTCCATTCTCCTTTATTTAAGGATTCTTACTTGCGTCATAGATTTTAGTCAATTTTTTAAAAATTCCAGCAATTCTACCTCGTATAAATGTTACGACAATCATTGTATATGTTACGCTGAAAAAAGCGCCAATTTGAAAAAGTGCACAAAAGCAGCTGGTCAAATCAACCTTTCTAAATTTATAAACAAAAACCACGGCTGCCATTAATCCACACACATTCATCAAGAATGTAATGAATACGATTGTGAAACGAAGTATTCTAATGCGTATCGTTGTATCTTCATCTGAAGGTATCACACAAAGCCAAGTCAATACCTTCTGAGTTGTTGCCAATGGTTTCATTCTTACTTCACAGAAAAACCTCCCAATAACGTTAAAGTCTACTTTTTTACTGTCATAATGTGACAAAGGTTCCTATACAGGAGAGCTCAAATACTTGTAAAATCATTTCAACGGAAACATTCATTTTTCATTATAATTCTAGCATTGTATATACAATAATTCGGACGCTTATCATCTATATGTAAAATGTCGGCACGTGTAAAAGCGCATCGAAATAGGCTAATCGAAAATCGATTATATGTGAAAACTTTTGAGCGCGTATGTTTGTTGATTGGTTCCAGCAAAGGATTTATAAAAATCCATATCGTTTATTTTTGGTTCTACAAATAAATATATTAGACGACTTTACTAGTGGTCCAAAAGTATATGGCGATAACGAATATTTTTTAAAAACATTAAGTGAAAAGTAATTTATTTAATAATTGAACTGAGCGATTGTTTTCAAGTATAAAAAATATTTATACCTACCCTGCCCACATAGAAAAAGAAGCCATAAGAAAACCATAGATTTATTGCCTAAAACGATAAAAAATAAAATTTACATACAGTTGGCGCTGCATTCTATGCAAACTTGTTTTCTGTTGTAACGGACTAAGTGGAAAGTATACGCTTATTACGTGAATTTTATTTTTCTATCATTTTAGGCAGTAATCTTATTGCTTCTTTCAAACATACCTTCCATACATAATTTTCTCGATTTTTTTTTTTCATTGCTTCAAAATTTCGGAATGTTTTTTTTTGCAAGTTTCATACAGGCGTCATATAAAATCCAAATTTTTGGTGAATTTTTGTTCGAAAAGTTTACCAAGTCGTATTCAGTTTTCTCGTGTTAAAAAATCTCCCACTACGTATTTTTTACAGCGGAAAAGATGTTTTTTCTGGACTTTAAATTGTTTCCGAATTCGTAAAGAAAACTCCCGAAATGAATTAATTTTTTATTTTGAATTAAAATCCCCCTTTGAGAATAGATTGATACTTGAAATAATCAGTATTACCAGCTACAATCAACATAATTTGATATATCTTACCTTTTTTATTTGCACATATAGGTTCTGATGAGGAAAGTCACTCAAAAATACCCCCAAGATTTTTGGATAACATTTTGCAACCACCATGAGTCCCTGTATATTAATATAGGCGAGAAAAAGACGGAATTGGATGGTGTCTTGACCGAATTCATATCGGTTGTGTTCAACAACAATTCGCACACGTCACCAGATGGCGATTTTACAATATGACATCTCTCAGTCATGATGGTTGGCATTTTGAAGAGATTTTTCTTATTTGTTCTCATTTTTCATACTTGATTTTTTTCCAAGTCAAGACAATGAATTTCTGTATCATATATAATCAGCACAAAGTTTGTGCCACAAACTGAATAAAACCGCCAAAAAATGTTTATTCAAATAAGGATTTCATTTATTATAAAAAAAATAATCTTATCAAAAATCAACAGAACTGGTTTCATGTATGCGTTTAAGCGGTAAAAAGTTCAAAAGATTTTTTTCAAAAGCATTATCTAAATAAATTGTTGAAATTAGAAAAATACGAGAAACAAATGTTTGAATACTAGTTTTTCCGTTAGTGGAATCAATAAAAGTGAATTTGTTTACGCATGTGATGATAAAAAAATGAGGAAATTGAGCTTGCCGAGATTATTTAAATTATTAATATGGCAAATATCCTAATAATTTTAAATTCTCATTTATTATTTACATGCTATTAACTGGAAAGGTTTTAGATAAGTTTTACATTCATACTTATGCTGTAAAATAAAATGCTTACAAATTAGATGAACTTGGGACATTTTACATATTTTTTTATTTTTTTATTTTTTTATTTGAAACTACAATGAGTTTCACATCATTTTTAATATTTTTTTTCTTAATATTCAAAATAGGCAGAAATGATTTTGGACAAAAGAACTGATTCCAACATTTTTAATTTCATGTTCACTTACAACAAGAGCACATACCGATTACGACTTAAAATTTATTAAATATCAACAATTCATTTTAAATTGCATTCAACACTGAATGTAATTCTTGTGTTTATCCATTCCAATCCACTACAAAAATTGAAAACTAGTCAGTTAAATAAGCCGTCAGAAATCAACTGGCTGTATATATGTATGTATATATAAATGTGTGTGAGTGTGTCAGGCAGTCAAAGTTGTTGTCATTGTCGGTGGCCTTGCCGTACATTGATTGTACAGTCATCACTGGATGTTATAAATTAAGTCAAATTGTCTGCTTTTATTTGGAACCTATGTCGTTATATACCTAATATCAGACCCAATTCATTTTCCACGTGACAGTTTTGGTACACGTTCGGCTACTATGGAATTCGATTCAAATTCGTTTTGCATAAAGAAAAGAAAAGATAAATATGTTAGTGATTCTAGCAAATTAAAAAAAAAAAACAAAAAAAACAATATTCTCAAAAACTGAATTTTAAGGAAAGCGATCTTTCATTTTGGAAGGAATATTGGATTGTGTTCTAGTTGTAAAATTGATGAAAATTGCGCATATGTCACATGTACTTACTCTTGGTCTCTCTACGCAGAGATATTACAATGGATATATTTATAAGTTTGATAAGGTGCATGTTTGTTTTTGAAATGCATTAGAATGGTCTTCCATGTACACACATGCGACACAATATATGAATGGGTGGGGGTGCATCCAAATTGATTAATTTCTTACTTTCATTTTAAATGACTAAATTTTAAAATTACTTCATAAAATCTCTTTCAAATAGTTTATAATACACGAGCGCTTTTTTGAAATGCACATACACACAAATATTCAATGAATGCGCAGATCGCATTTCATTGGCAAAAATCGAAATTCAAAACGATGTTATGTTCTGTCAAAAATTGAATGTTTTTTTTTTCTCTTTCAAATGCAGAGCGTTTTCATTGCATTCGATACTTTACGTTTCAGTGGATTTTATTTTTTAAAAAAATGCTTGTGTGTGTTAGAATGTGGGAGGTTTTTTTCTCTTTTTTCATTTATCCATTACTTTTTTACGTTCATTTACCAAAGCGACCCGCAAGCGAATATAAAGAGCGGAGCAATTCCAAGGCCCGAGCATCGGAATTTCGATGCGCCTGGTTCACCGAATAATTTGTATCACCTTGATGCGCTAAATATTGATCCAAATCTTTTGCAAGACGTTTTGAATTGCGTATTGGTGCTGGTGTAGTCCTTCGACGAGATTTGATTGTTGTTGGTGCCCGTGTTGTGGTCGTTGTTGTTGGTGCAAATGTTGTGGTCGGTGGTTGATAATATGTGGTCGTGGTGGTATCAATATCTGTTGAATAGATGGCTGTTGTGGTGTAATCATAGTTTGGTGTTGCTGTTGTGTCTGTGTAATAGTTTGTGGACTGGAATAACGGTGAAAATGTTGTTGTTTCAGTGTTAAGTGCAGCATTTTGTGGAGTCGATGTAACATGCGTTGCATAATTGGCAACGGTAATGCGTGAGCTGAGTGGCCTGTGATATGTTGTGATTGGAAGTTGTGTGGTTGTTGTTGGGATCGCATTATGACTCGATTGACTGTTTAAATTTAGTGATTTTTCTTCACGGTATGGTTTAGCGTGGATCGTTTGAATTTCATTACCATCATCGGTTTTTCCATCCATGCCGATTAGTGCGGTTAACAGTGCTTGCCTTGATTGTTCAACTGTTTTATTATAATCATCGTCACACGTTTGAATCAAAAGTAAAATTAATTTTCGCACTGTTTTATTTTTATCGGCTTTTTTCATAACATTCATCAAATGATCGGCAGATGTATCATTCAGAGAGCCAAACATTTCGTTGGCTTTGCGTTGCATTACATGTAAATAATCTTCATGTGTTGGTGGTCCATTTGTTGGTGAAACAGCTTTACCTTGTCGATTTTCATTATTGAAATACGGTGATATGGTTGGTTCAGTACTTTCAAAGTTTGGCGTTTGTGTTGTTTGTGCCGAACTTGAACTTGAATTCGGCACTTGAGTGCTTTGCTCACCCGAACTCATTAGGCCATCATTTATGGTTAATGGATCCAAAAACACTGAATATGATAGCGTTGACCATGTGTTTGGATTAATTTTACCATTATCTGGATAAGTTGTTTTACTAAATTCCGGTGCTGGTGTTACGGTTGGCAACTCTGTAATATAATGTCCATTTTCATTCTTCAGTGATTTTATATCATTTTCACTCGTATACTCTTTGCCCGTTCGATGTGGTTCTAATGTATTTTTACCATTGCCATATATCGACTGTGATTGAGCACGTTGTAAATCATTTTCATCGACTGGGGCAGTAATTTCACTTTTCGGAAATTCAAAACCTTTATTGCCGGAAGATGATGGCGGTAATAAATCAAATGACAATGGTCCAGACGATGTAGTTACAATATTTGGATAGTCAGTTGTTTGAGCTGGATAATCGGTGTCGGTAAGACGTGATGGAAATTGGAAAGTATTATTTTGATTTTCAAAATCTTCGAAATATGGATAGGTGGTTGTTGCTTCTAGGCCACCATTGATTTCAATGGCCAATGGATTGCTTGGTTCAGTTGTTCCGTCCAATGAATTTCCCGTATATTGATTCAATGCATACGATTCAAGCGCTTCAGTTAGAATACGCGAAGCTGGAATATGATCAACTTGTTTTAATGATTCGTGAAGAATTTGCGACCGTGTTGTATCGAAGATATCAACAGCTGGCAAAGGAGTTGAACTTTCCGAATTGTTAATAATATCGGTTGATTGTTCTTTTGAAAATGGTGTTGATAAGGTTACATCGGAAAAGTCAAGTACTTCCAAATCTTCTGTTGTTGGAATGGCACCGTTTACATCTCGAACACTTGGTGTGGCCGATGTTGGTAAGTATGTGGCTCCAGTGCCATCTTTAAAGTCCTTATTTCGTCCAAGGCGATTGGTTAAATACTCGGTACTTTGTACTGGGGGCGGTTCAGTTGGTCGAATTTCAGCCAAAACTCTGCGAAATGTGGATGGATCATGTAAATATGCTGATAATGCATGCGTAAATACTTGAGCCAATTCTCGTATTTGTTTCGTTCCACTGGCAGCAATGACCGGATTATTTGAAAATTCTGTTTCTAAATCATTATTCGAAGCATTTGAATCATCATTTGAGCCATCACGAATATTTGCTTTGTCAACCAATTTATCATCTTCATCGATTCCGAATAAGGTTTCATACTGACGCTTGGTAGTGTCGCTTACCAACGATGATTCTAACTTTGTCACATTACCGGCATGAACGTCAAGACCTTTCAAACCTGGAATTGGTAGAACAGTTGTTGTTTCAGCCATTGGTTTTGTCACCAAACTATCGACAGCCGTTGCAAAGTACAAAGCCAACGAATGAATTGTTTCCGGCCCCGAAGATGGTGGAATCACCAAACCAGATCGACTTCCATAATCTTTAACCTTTCGGTTTTGGTTATCATTTTCATTTGATTCAGATGGATTATCCAACTTTAAGTCGTGAATTGTTTGCATCATTTCCATAGCATGTTCAGCCACTTTGGCCGAACTGACTGTCGGTCTGGTTTCTTGTAAACGATTTCTTGCCCCTGGCCGAGCTGGTGATACACTTGGCACCGTTGGCGTATAATATGGTGTTGTTCGTGGTGCTTCATATCGTGCGGTTGTTGATTCGCCGTTCACTCGACCCCTTATCAATGGTGGCGGTGTTGTGCGTGCCGCTGTGTCCACAACATTTATGATAAATTCATTTGTTTCTTTAGTATCTTTGTATTTTGTAGTGCCACGATTTGGATATGTGATCGGTGCCAATGTGGTTGTTGAAAATGCCGCTTGATTATTTCGTTCGGTTGTTGTGGTTGTTGTGGTTGTTAATTTTGCATTTTGGAATCGTCGGCTCGATCGATCTGGATCATTATATTGGTATCCATCGAAATTGTTATTTTTCACAAAGGTAACATCGGCCGATGTTGTGACAGGTACAGACGATGTTGCTTGCGGTTGCGGTGATTGTGTCGTGGCTTCCTTTTGATTTGATGGCTTCTTTTCATTCGGTTGCTTATAATAGTAACCATTGAAATTGTTCGCCTGTGGATTGACAAATGATGAACTTGCAGCAAATACTTGTGATTCTTGTGAATTTTGTCGTCCATTTTGTAGGCTTTGTGCATTTTGTAAGTTTTGCGATCGCTGTGAATATGCTTTTGCCTTTCGATCAACATTCAATGCATTCGATTTTGGTGCATTTAAATCGGGAAATGAAATATCTTCAAAGTCATATGCATCACTTGAAATCTCTTCGGATGGTTTTTGTTGTGATGAACTTTTGTCCAATTTAACAATTGGTTTGGGCTTGTTTGTCGAATGTTGTGATGAACGATTTTGTGCTCGTGACAAAACCTCCGAACTTTCAGCATAATGACCCGGTGATGCGGCACAATTTACTTTAAACCACCAGTCACAAATCAATTCGGTTTGCTGAAAAATCGTACCATTCGGACAAAGAAATGAGATTTTCTTGCCGCCTTCGCAAATGTGAAAAACCTATTTAAAATACATTAAAAAAATGGAAATCAATAAAAATGATCGAATTGAAATGGATATTTTAAAATTGCTTGACATTACTTGGCACTCGGTTTCCAAATCGGCAAAATATCCATTGCCAAAATCACGACAGTTGAATGTCGTTTGTGGAATGCTGGTTAGAACGGGAAAATCGATACCAGGTCGTCCGACTACACCTTGATAAATCTCATAGTCGCTGTCATCAAATAAGTTCTCATTGCTAAGCCGTTTTCGTAGATCGTGCGGACTACTGATCTCTTCCGGTGCCAACTCTTCTTCAATATGAACCGCATACTGTGCCGCTCCGGTCCGTTCAGCTAATGACTTGGCAGACGTTCGAATCACCTTTTTTTTGAAATAAAAAACCAAACAAAAAAGAACTCATTAAAACCATGCATTCGCGTCTTTCACATTTTTTTCATCTGTCATCAACAGTATCAACGACTTTTTCTTTCTTCATTGCTTCATTCATTCCAAATAAAATGAAACGAAAAATATAGCTGAGTGATCTCGCTCTAAATTGTAAGTGTCTGTTTCATTGAACCAAAATGAATGAATTACTCTCTTCTATGCTTACACCATATTTTATCTCTCTACTAATTCGCTAAAATCGTTGTGTGCTTTTGTATTGTATGTTCATTTTTGTGTGTTGTTTCACACGCAATTCACTTTCTTTCCCGTTTTGAAATATAATTACTGGATTTTGCTTGCCTACGACGAAATTATAAGTGTGAAAATCGCAAACGAAATCAATTTAAACTTGAACGGCACCACACTCACACGAGGCCCGTTTGCATAAGCTTATAATCTATCAACTATATTTACATAAAAAAAATTGCGCTGCTCGCTATGTATTTTTTCTCTCTTTGCTTGTACGTATGTACGATGAAGCATAACACGATGCATATAAAATAATGAAAACGACAAATGGCATTGATTTGAATATCTTCTGTTTTCAACATTTTTTTTTCGTTGTTTTCGGGGAGGAAACATTGCGGGTGAGCACACATCACACCAATTCGTTTTTTGGGTAGGTATAGCAGTAACCGCAGCACAGACATGATCAAAACATGAAGCAAAAATATGTAGACAACAGAGATTTTTGTATGTTGAGCTTCCAGGAAATAGATCGTCTCCGAAAGATAATGCAATCATATTAGCGAGTAACTTTCGCTATTTTCATCGTTATTTTTTTTTCGTTTGCTCTTCGCTATTATAATTTTTTTTTTCATTTCGAGATCAAAGTTAATGTTATTCATCGGAGAGCAACGGCAAATGGTAAAAACAATGAAATAAAACATTAATAATGAAATTAAACGGAAGCAGTAGAAAAAAAAATCAGATTCCACGATTTGCCATGGTGATATTGAAAGTGTTCGTTGATGATGAATGAATAGCGCGATGCTACACAATAAATACAAAGTATACTTTCGTTGGCCAAATCTTTCTTCTGAATTTGTTGTAAGAAATCTCACTTTTGACCCAAGCTGTCTATCGACAGCATCCATCGCCAAGAAAAATTGCGCACAAACCAAACCATAAGTTTCCGAACGAACCGATCTGATATTGAATTCATTTAATATTCATATTGCAAACGAAAAATTTGTTCATTAGTTCAATATTTCGTCTTTGGCAAATATAGAAAAAAATGTGTGATTTTATCTTGCAAAACTATGCTGTGCTCCACGAGCACTGCACTAAATTGCGTCACGCGCTGCACTTTTTTTTCTTCTCTCTTTGCATAACCGTACAACAGACACATATAATAGTTTAAAGTGGTGAGCGCTTGTGTGCGCTCACACCATTCACACATATCTAACCAAATCGAAGTGCTCGCCTGAAATTCTATTGTTATTTACGTTCGTAATTTTTTTTTTAATTGGTACATTCATTGTGCTCTCTCGCGTAATTTTTCTTGAAATTATTCTTGTGCCATTTTCAATTCATTGTGTGTGCGTGTGTGCGCACCCGAGTGTATGTGTCGTTTACGATTGAAAATGTATTCAATCGGCATGTGGTCTGATTTGTACAATCTCGATGATGTACGACTTAGAATTGTGTGGCACGCACACCGTATAAGTCACGCATCAAATTTACAACATCCTGCATAAGACGAGTCTTATCATACAATAGCAGAAACAGATTTACCAATGCTTCTGTTTACGGAATGAAAATGCAAGTTTGTCTTGATTTAATGCAATGCCGACGCATTCTAAATCAAACAGATTGCGTACAATTTGGCAACCTGCTTTGAAAATGTACATGAATATTAATTGAAACGATTTGCTCATATGGAATGTTTTATTTTATTGAAGTGTTATGAGAAGTTTTCGCTTTTCCATTTGGTGTTTCGTTCAAAACGAATGTATTGCAACGTCGATTAATAATAATGCATAATGGTAATTGCAGTTTTGTTATAACTTTGTCAATATTATGAATGCGTAAAATGCGTAAAATTCAATTCTTTCTGTTGGTAATTTAGTCGACTTATCACTGCAACACCACCGTTGCTACCGATTGAAATCGAGCACTTTGTTGTATTACTTTATGCTCGCGCAAGCAACCACTTTCGAAATACTTATTCAATTAAAATAAATTATATGGCCGTTTAAATACGCGATGACCTTGTCAGTAGTCAGCGTCAAGCGTACATAAAATACCGTTCAGTTTAAAGCATGAGAATTGAGCATTGATAACAATTTTCGGTTCGAGATCATTGTGGGAAACTCTTTTTCATTGAAAATAAACGAGCGAGGGCGCACGCACATCGTAAGGCGGATGAAGTTTTTTTCTCTCTCTTCACTTTCAATAGATATTATATTATTCGTACACTTGAAATGACTTTTCAAACTGATCAGTTCGAATACACATATAAACAAATTACATAGCGCATGTGTCGGATTACACTTGAATATTATTTGTACAATGGAAAAGGTGAGAAAAATCATAGAAGGGAAATGATAAAAGTTTAAGTATTTCGCGCTCTCTCTTTCAATCTTTTTCTGCAAAGCGTCAACATATAAGAAAAGCATCTGCACGTGGAGGTTAATAAAATCAGACATGAGTCCAAGTGGGTGGGAACCAACACCCACCCATTTGTATATATTTTCAATGTGGTCGGGTCCTTGACAACGGAAAAGATTTGAATTGAAAGTTTATTTCACGTTTTTTGGTTGTAATCAAACGATCTAAAAGAAAATTTCATCATTTCTTCGAACGGGAACACTTTCCATTTTTTTTTTTCATTTCTTAAAAGAACTGAAACTGCAAAACATTTATCGTTTAAATAGGAAGAAGACAAGATTTTATTACCTTTGCACCCAAGCAAGGTGATGTGACGATGCACAGAAAAAAACCTGCAAAAAAATAAGAAAAAAGAAACATTGTTGAAAATGATATTACAAATTAAGCACAATATTATAATTGATTCTCCGTTGAATGGCAGACAGTACACGAAATATGCATGCGAACGCGCGACGAATGCAAATTTCGTTTGTTTCCCATGGCAATTTATGATGTACAGACACAGCTGAAACGACAAAGACGTTGTCGACGACGACCACGGAATTAAAAGAAAACAAGCGCATACCGTTGCGATTAAACATGGTAAACGTGTCGGTAGTTTGTACAAGTTCACATTTCGAGCCTCTCTCATCGATATGAACAACACAATCCCATCAACTCATGTTACGCCGTGTTGTCGAGTGTACGCGATCATTACATATGATTCTATGGTACATTATGATTGTTTGGTACATTTTAATGGGATACATCCACGTGTATGGGCAATCGTTTTCAAACTTGAATTAATTCGTTTCACACACATATGTATTTTTTCTCGCTCATAACCTTTCAAAAAATATGTTTCTCTTCATTCAATTAAATCGAAATAAACTTCATTGATTTGAATTCAATTGAGGCGGCTTACAAATGTAAAGTTGAAAAATATTACTTTTTGTCAAATTGAACATTTATCAATATTGCATGGAATCCATGAGTTCTTACACAGTGCGTTTTTGAATGGACAAAAATTGCTTTATTTTTTCTACTCAATAAGATGATTTTATTTGCGCCTCAATTGTCACTCGCGAATAGAAAAAGTAACGTGCATTTTTTAAATAAAATTGCCCATACGTATATTTGAGAGAAAATCCATTTTGAAAATGCATGCGCATCGGAAGGCAACCGCAAAATGATAAATTCAAGGCAGTGAAAACACGAATAATAATGCACATGCAGATGCTTATCATGCATCTAACATGCAGAAAAATTTCATTGATTCCAATATAGTATAGACGGAAAATGTAAGCGATCGTCTGCTGTGCTCATTCTTTTCGCTGCTGTCGTACAAATGGGCACACGTTTATTTGGCATTTGGTGAATATGTCGCCATCGTCTCTCTTTCTCACCATGTTTGGTGCATACAGAATATTGTCATGATCATGAACGTGGTGTGTGTGTGTCTCTCTGTGTGTGTTTTTTTTCATCACCATATTGAAATGGCACACATAAATAAACTAAAGTTCACCAAAACAAATCTGACGACGGTGACAACGACAAACGCCGTACAATTAAACAAACAGAAGAAGCTTGCGCATTAGAAATGCGCATTGTTTTCATTTTTTTCGCTTTTTTATTTTTCAATTTTCTGGCGAAAGTTCATGTGGAGAAAGAAAACTTTCTTAGTTTATATTAAAAGAAAGCAAAACAAATATCTATATTCATAGAAAGGATTGATGACATTTATTTGCTTATGTCAGTTTTTATCATCTCTGCCATAAACACTTTATTTATATCCACTCACACAGTTAGATCTATGCACCGAATGCAATATCAAACCAAAGTGTTTATCATTGAAAATGTACAAATCTCTCTTTTCGGTGGAAAATTATGAGATAAAGTGAAATGCGATTCAGGAAGCGAACGCAAACGAAAAATGTCAATATCATAAATATGATTGTATTGGACAATGATGAATCTGATGGGTGAGTGCTTCATTATTTGCTAATGATTCGATTTTAGTCAACATTGCTTCAGGACCGAAAGTGTCAAGAGTTACGAGTCGCAAATCGGTTCGCTGTGGGGGTATTTCCTATACTATGACCTTATATCATTATATTTATGTTGTGTAAATTTATGTTTTCAACGAAAATGAAGTTTACCTTTCGGCGAGAGAAAAAAAACTTCTTAATTAAATGCACGCAAAATTGAATTAGTCGAGGAACGCGAAAATTGCCGAAAAAAACCAATTCCATAATCATAAATGGTGTGCGCGGATCGATTCGTGGTCACAAAGATAATTCATGACACATAGTTTTACGGAAATTGCCACCTTCGTTTTTTTCTCTCTCCTACATCAACAATACAGCTTCAATAATTGAACATTTCACGGAAAAATCATGAAAAAAACAAACACTTACACCAAAAAAAACAACAGCAATAATAATAAAAGCGACTACATCAACGATCACGTCAAAACCAAACCAAATAAAAAATAGAAGGCAGCAGAAAAAAAATATCTGAATAATCGTGCGGTAATACAACAAGCAGTTATGAGCCCGCAACACCAACGTTGTTGTCGTCGCATGGATTAAAGTATGTGTGTTTTTAGTGTTTTGTATGATGAAAATGTTTTACTTTCTTGCTTTCTATTTCACGGTGTATGGCATTGCAGTTGAAGTTCGAGTGTCATCGTTGTTATTGGATTTGTGCATATACAAACATATACATACACCGAAAGAAAGAGACATACTCATTTTGATCGTTTGAAGTTTGTTCACCGTGATCTATTCAGATTAAAAGATCATACGGTTCAATTACTCATGTTTCCTGTATGCAAATCGAAACACACAACCACAAAAAGCCCTCACTGCGCGCACTATTTGTTTATAAGAAAAGACGACTCTCGCGCACCGAATGGTGTAATATCAATTTTTGACTTAGACTTTTCAACTGTGGCACGAAACATGCCCGGCTTCATATGCAGCCACAATTTATATAATGCCATCGATCAAAAACTTATCTGCTGCATATAATGCAAAAAAATCGCATCTCATATTGCACCATCAACTGATAAATGACCGAATGCTATTTGTTTGCTGGTCAGAAAAGTAGACGAAAAAAAAACAGCAACACATTTCCTCTATTTACTCGGCTAACAATTTCGATGAAATGCACCATGAACCGAAAAGAAAAACATCCGACATGAGTGAAAATCAAGTAGAAAAATAACAAAAGTGGAAACGATGTGATCGACCAACATCGGCAAATGGCGTTGAAAGTACTATCATTTCTAACTGTTGCACAGCAAACATAAATTCTTTTTGAAATCCATTAAAATGTCTCTCTCTTTATACTTCACCTGGGCACCGGTGTGATAAAACCATCGCATACATTTTCTTGTAGTCAGTTGAACTTTGGCATACCATTTACAGTGCTGATCATTATGCACACGAGAATTTCGTTTTTTGCTGTTCGTTCGAATTTTGCATCGAAATTCCTTGAAATCAAATTGGTAACCAAAATCGTTTTGTTTTCGATTGTGAATCACATTATGTCAATTATTTTTTTTTCTTTTTGATTGACCACCAATCAAAGCGATTTCATTACAAAACTGCCGATACAAGACAGCAAGAAAAAAAAATGTGAGCACAGTTTCGATGCCGGTATCTACATAATATCGTTCACTCTTGGTGTGTGGTTATTGTTTTTCAATCATATATCATTCAATTTATGGATTGTGCTTTATCATATGCGTATAAACCGGAGACAAAACAAAAAAATGAGGACAAGTTGCTGAAATGAAAATCAATTGAAACTAGAAAAAAGTCTTTGCGCAGAAAATTGGGTTTGATTGACATGTGATGAATTAGCGATTAATTCGCTAATTCGATGATATGCGAAGTTTAATTATCGAATCGGCAATGCAATCCACCATATTGACTACTTAACACCAATCGAGAAGTGACAGTGATTAAAAAACAATCGGTTTATGGGCCGTTTCAATTACAATATTTCATTCACAATCGCACAATATTATTTTATTAAATTAAATTGTGAACCAATGTCCGCATTTAATTCGACTATAATCGACTATATGCCAAATGATCATAGCAATGTCGTCATCCCTACCGTTGATTGATTTATGTGATTTACTATTGATGTAATTTCATTTCATTACCGTTTGATTTCAAATGAACGAGCAAAAAAAAATATCTGCGATGAAATACTTAAAATACGTTTTTCTCGAAACTTTCGTTTGAAATGAAACTGAGCGAAAAAAAAAAAGTTGAAACAAATTGGAATTGTGGCCAACCTTCTTCTATTCAGTTGCATATCGTCATGAAGATGAAAATCGAAAACTCAAGCAGACAATTATTATTCATAGTTGATGTTGTTGTTGTTTTGTTCGTGGCAACTTTGGAAAAGTGCCGCCGGTGATAATTCGATTGTTTGTGCTCTTTTCGCAATAAATAATAATAAGACAACAAGTAAAAGAAGTAGAGAAAAAAAGTTTTTTTTCTTTTTTTTTCGATTGCATAAGATAACAGACACTAAACCGTCCATAAATGAAATGATGCACATATACAATTCGCTGTTTGAAAGATGGTAGCAAAAATTGATTTTTGCTAAGCATAAAAGGTAAAACTTTATTTGATTATAGAAGATTTGAAGCAAAAAAAAAAAAATCACCGCCGAAATCACTCTTATCGAACGAAACAACTCATAAATCATGTTTGAAGTGTAATACTTTCATCAGTACATTTCCCTTCGAGCAACAAAACCAACGAGAATACAGGGAGAGAAAAAAAGAATGTATACCGAATATCATGCACATCTTTGCTATTTACTTTGGTTAATTTTAATCGCCAGAATAATAGTCCGGCAATACTTGAATTTTGAATTTGCCACACAATAATAATTATGCTAAAGCCAGATAATTTATGTAAAACATGTTACGGTCATTTAAACAAACACAAACTTGCATATTAAAGCGAATTTAATTATGACAATAATTTACATTAAACGTGAAAGATTCAAATCGGAAAATGGACATATGCATCTACGGGGATGATTAGGTCAAAAGTAAAGGTGAAATGTTAAATTGTTCAACTTTTTTTTTTCACCAGAAAAAAAAATGTGTGACACGTTTCAGTCATTTTGCTAAAAAAAACTGCATGAAATGCGATATTTTTGTTAATTATTTTAACCATGTTAAGAAAATTGTCGCGAAAAAAATTTCGAATTAACTATCTCATCATTTCATCTTATAACGACACGATTTTGAAAGCCTGCAGAAATGATAAAAATTATTTTTTTTTCTTATTAAACCCACGAATTATGACACATCATTTTGATAAAAATGTACCACTCCCAAAATTGCTCTGACAACTGAAAAAATGTTCGGAGAAAAAAAACGAACCCAAATTTTTTTGCATATTCGAAAAACGTTTTTTTTTCTCTTTTGCATACAAAAGAGAAGAATCTGTGCCATCGAAGCCCAGCAGTTATTTGAGCGATTTTCTTTGTTTTTACTCTAATGTGTTTGTGTAGACTTTTCTCTCTCTCTCTTTCAATGCGAATAAAAAATGTTTTCTAATTACTGGAAAATGTTGTGGGAAGTTCATTTGGGCAACATTCGAAATAACTATTCGTGAAGAGTGTAAAAAAAGTGCCCAAAACAACAACAGCCACACAAAGCCGAAGATTTTATTTTTAAATGTGTGCCACTGAAATGAAGATTGCAACATTTTTTCTTCGAATCGCTCCTACTGTATTTGGCGTGGAAGCCGTTTGTTATTGGTTTACTTCATGTTTTGGTCTGTATGCTGTTGTTGTTGTTTTTATTGTTTTACACTGATGATGTTGTAATCAACATAAATGGAATGCGAAATGCAACCATTCAATGAAATCTAGTTAAATTGTTGTTAATGCAATGATGTCAGATGATGAAGCTAAGAAAGTTGGTCAATCACTTAATTCTTGTCTTGGCTACATTTTCGTTCTTCACCACTTGGCGATGAACTGACAATGGATCATCGGCAAATGAAACGGTCAATAAAGCTGTTGTTCGATGTGCTGCATCGAAACAATTCAATTGGAACAAATAAAATTATTAATAGAATTGATTCTTTCAAATGAAATGTATGCACAAGATTCAATGTCGCAAGGTCTTAGCGAATAAAAATTCATTTAAAATATGCCCCATTCCGGTTGAATTGGAAGGTAATTGAGGCTGCACCATTCTCGTTCATTTTCCATTCAGTCAATTTTATTTCAACAAATCGATTTCAACGGCGAAATTGTCTTTATAATAACAGCGTGAGTAGCGATAATCCAGAGAAATATTGAAATATAGATCATTCTCTCAAAATAAATGAGCTTAAAATAGTCAATACTCATGATCAAAACATTTGAATGTAAAGCCGACAGACAGTTCAATGAGGGACGAGAAAAAAACACACCATGAACAAAAAATCACTTTACGATTTATGCTGCAGGCGACCGAGAAAAGAAATATATGCATAGCAAAGTCTATTTGTACTTGGAAATTTCGATACATTCAGTTTTTGTGCACACAATTCAATTTCCGTAACATTCTGATTTCACAAAGAATGTAGCGATGGGCTCTTTTTTTTTCTTTCCGAAACGTTAAGCATCAACAAATAAAAACCGATAAAAATGATTTAGCATTTCCACAAGAGTCTCAAGAGTCTGCACAACTGAGAAATTACCTTCTCAAGAACTTGTGAATACCGTATTTCAAAATGTAAACACTGTTATTCTGAGGTGTTTCGTAATTTTCAGTTGGTTTCGTTTTTATTTTGCTTGTCGGTTCGATGATCTATGGATGTGAAAATCGTAAATTTTTTTTCTCTCTTTGCTTTTTGATGCCAAACGGTGTGATTTTTTTAACACGCCGGAATGGTGTGCTTGTTTGCTGCAGTCGGAAGATGTTTATTTTTCTTTTGACTTAATTGAAAGGCGTTCGGTGATTACGATAACCTTTCAAACATCATCTTAATTAACCGCCAATTTATTTTATGTCTATTTTTCCACGCCGTTTTCATTCCACATTTTTGATAATAATATTTCTTTATCAATTTTTTCCCCCTTTTGTTTTATTACTTTATCATGTAGTATATAGTTTGTGCACGCGACTCGTACTGAAAATACGTGTTAGCTAATAAATCATGCCATTTTCTCTAATGTGTTTTCAAACACACGGGCTGCGTTTTTTTCGTCTGCTGCCTTCGATCGTTTTAAAATTAACGATTTGATTAATAGAAAAGCATGAAATTTGACTTTTCGGCTCTAATGATGTGATGGCACGTTGGTCAAGCAACTAATTAATGCGTTCATTGATTGAACTCTAAATTATTGTTTCGTTCGAGAAGGAGAGAGAGAGAGAGAGAGAGAGAGAGAGAGAGAGAGAGAGAGAGAGAGAGAGA